CACAATATTTGACACACATACAATCGTGGTGGTCCATCTCTCTACAAAGGCAGCTTCAAGTGGTTCTACATGTTCATTCACGTTTCTCTCTTTCTATTGGCATTTGTAACCGTTTGTTCTGTTAATTTCCCCCTTTTTTCTTAATAAAACCAGCTCAGAAAAGTCATATTTGGCAAATTAGAAAGAGTCCAGAACCAATGTATTGTAACAAACACTAACACTGAAAACGTGGTGTGATATAGAGACAAGCTCTAAGTCTCCACCTCAAACCAATGAATGGATGGATGATTGCCCTGTCTCTTCCCTGTCATTTCCTCTCATCTTCCTGAATTAATTGCTTTAGTCCACTGCTTACTGCTTACTAATCTTAATGCAATACACCCTATAAAGTAAATAAATAAATAGTTCAGCTTTTTTACTTCTTTCTCTTCTTGTAGTTTATGTTTTAAATATATGAACAAAAATATCAATATAAAAATTTAAAAGAAAACAAACCAAAGTTACGAGACTAAAGAGAATCATACTAGCGGAGGGGCCCTGCTTGGCAGGGCTGGAATGGAACCGACCTGTCGATCCGTTGATTTAGTCTTTGGTAAAAAATCATTGAATCGGTCAATGACCTATTGATCTAAGTAATCGAATTATTGACTCGTTGATCTATTCCATGGTTTTTGTCTGTTTTTTATTTTTTTAATCGGCCTTCTGAGCAACTGGTTCCATTTTATCTTAATCTCGGTTTGTAGCCAAAAATTGTTGAATCAGTCAACGACCCATTGACCCAGGGGGTTGAACCGTTGACCCGTTCAATGGTTTTTGGTCATTTTTTATTTATTTTTTATTATTATAACGGGTTATCCGTTTGAACTGAACAGTCAAACCGTTCACCCAAAAACCGGTGACCATAACGGTTCCATTTTTAGGTTGTATAAGTCACACACTCAAATGACATAACACGTATGGTAATGCTTAATGGACCTCACACACTCAATTTTTTGCATGTAATTTTTATTGTCAGAATGGGTCGTCCGTTTTTTTTTTTTTTTTTTAATTGGAAACTGTCCAGATAACCAGTTTCGTTTTACCCCAATCCTGGTCCCTGGCCAAAAACCATTGAATTGGTCAATGACCCATTGACTTGAGTGGTCAAATCATCAACCCATTGACCCATTCAATGGTTTTTTGCTGGTTTTTTTTTTTTTAACTTTTGTTGTTAGAACGGGTCATCCGTTCAAATTGGACGATCGAATCGTCAACTCGAAAACCAGTGGCCAAAACGGTTCCATTTTTTGGTCGTATGAGTCACATGCTCGAATGACATAACATGTATGATACTTCTTAATGGACCTCACACACTCAATTTTTTGCATGTAAATTTTGTTGTCAGAACGGACTGGACGGTCGAACCATTGACCCGAAAACTGGTGGCCAAAACAGTTCCGTAATTTTTTGCTTATAATTTTTTGTTGTTAGAATGAGTCATCCGTTCAAACTGAATGACCGAACCGTCGATCAAAAAACCGGTGGCCAAAACGGTTCTGTTTTCGGGTCATATGAGTCATACACTCAAATGACATAACTCATATGGTACTACTTAATGGACCTCACAAACTCAATTTTTTGCCTATAATTTTTGTTGTCAGAATGGACTGTCCATTTGAACCGGATGATCAAACTGTCGACCCAAAAACCGGTGGCCATAATGATTTCGTAATTTTTGCTTGTAATTTTTGTTGTCAAAATGGGCCATCCATTTGAACTAAACGGTGGAAGAGTCGATTGCTAGAACGTTACTAACAACATTTATCAATAATAGTAATTAATTATACTATTTAATTAAATAATCATTAATGATAGTTTTAATAATATTATTTAGTTATTTTTAATATAATAGTAATTATTAAGTTTATGAATAGGATTTATTAACAATATTCATTAAATTAATAATTACCAAAAATAAATTAAATTAATAATATTTATTAGTAATAGTCAGTAATTATAATATTTTATTAAATAATCAATAACAATACTTTTAATAACATTTTTTAATTATTTTGAATATAACAATAATTACTGTATTTATTAACAGTAATTTTAATTTAAAGTAAAATTTAAGTAAATATCTATTTATTAACAATATTTATAATAACAGTAATTATTAATTATAATAAATAATTATATATTTATTAAATTACTTTAATAATCAGTAATTATTAAAATTGGGTTACTAAATTTATTAACAGTATTTTTTAATAACAATATTTATAATTTTAATTTAAAGTAATCTAGTTATTAACAATATTTATAATAATAGTAATTATTAATTATAATCACTAATTATATATTTATTAAATATATAATCACTAACAATAATAATTACAGTAATTATATAATTAGTAACATAATCAGTAGTTATTATTACAGTAATTATATAATTACACTATTAATTACTGTAATTAATTAGTAAATATTGTTATTAATTAATAATTAATTAGTAATTAATTACTGGAAATGGGTGCATGTTACTACACTATTAATTACTGTATTAATTAATAATTATTGTTATTAGTTAGTAATTAATTATTGGAAATAAGTGCTCGCACGTGAATAGATCCCACATGCGAACACCTATTTCCTTAGTGGAGAGAGCACCCATATCCTTTTAATAGTGGGTTATTTTTTAAAGGTCAAAATTATTAATGAAAACCAATAATTATACTAGCTTAAAATCAATGGACTTGATGGTCCTTGATAAATCAGGATTAAAAAATTGAGATGGTATTAGCTGAAGGCAATAAAGGTTCAGCAGGGAAATGAAGGGAAACCTGTATATGTGAGCCTCTTGTATTCCGATCAGACCTTTTCTCTTCTCGATGGTCGGGTGGCCAAACAACGAGTTGCTAAGTGTCTAAGGGTCCAGGAGGGAATAATTGTAAAAATGGCAATAAAAATTCACCCATTCATTGAATTCTATGGCCAACATAAAAGATCCAGTTGTTCTCTATTCATATAATCATATAATCATGTATTTACTTAGACACTCCCCTATAATTTCACATGTTTACTAAAACCTACCCTCCTCCAATTCAACTTGGATGAGCCCAAACTAACTTTTTACACTGCTTCAGAGTTGGTCCTCCAGGCCACGTGACTTCTTAAAATGAGTGAAAAATGTGAGTGCATGAATGAAGTTTCTTTTTTTTTTTCAAAAATATACATAATAATTCTCTTATAAACATTTTAAGAAACAAAACCCTCTCGAATCCCTAAACCCATTTTCCACTCATTTTAAGAGATCACATGATCATTCTAACCAAAATATAAGTGGTTTCTCATCGAAATTTGATTAAGTAATGCAAAATTGGAGGGGGTGATTTAATATTATACAACTTAGAGCATAGGTTTTAATAAATATAGAAAACTATAAGGGTGTCTAATTAAATTGATCCTTCATTCAATTACTCTTTCCTTCCATAAAGCCGCCGGTTGCGTCATTATTCACCTGCTAAACTAAATGACTTATTTCTTCGTCTCTTAGTGAAAGTCATCAAGGTGGCCGTGAGCTGCTTCAATTATTTCTTCCACTAAAAGATAAAAGCAATAAGCGATTCAGTTCAACCACTTCCTTTTTGGGTACTAATTCAGTTCAGCCACTTGAGCCGTTATTAAAACTTCCTTTTAGTCTTTGGCCACAAAAATTGAAAGCTTTGCTGATAAAAGACGAATCATTAATATTAAATTAAATGTTTATGTTTTATTCGAGTGTAGATCTGTTCATGGGTTAGGCTAACAATTTAATTTTTTGTTAAATTTTGAATAGCTCCGGTCCACTCTGAAGTCCAAGTTAAAATTAAAATTCTGTAAAATGTTCATGGGCCAAACCCAAATACTGGCTATTTAAAATTCAAAGCATGGTTTTCAAAATCGGACCGGACTAGAAAAACAGGGAACCGGTCAGGTGATTAGTTTCGGTTTTCTCCAAAACCAAATTTTCTAAAAAATCATTGATTTTGGTCAACAAATAGCTGACTTTGGTTAATCGTCCGAACAGTTTTGATCATTCTTTTACTTTTTTAGTTTTTTGTTAAAACGGGCCGACCGTCGACCCAGTAACCAAACCCCTGACCGGTTCGGTCTCCAAGTCGGTTTTAAAAACCATGCTTCAAAGTGTTCTTAATAATCTCTTCCTTTTGTATCTTAAGGTTATGTTTGAAAAAAGTATAAATAAATAAAAATAATATAAAATATAAGATTTTGTACTCTACATATTTGTACTTATATTCTTTCCAAACTGAGCCTAATAATCAAAATATTAGCTTTGTCTCGAAATTTTCATTCCCATCCATCTTACTAATAGAGAAGTTTAGAGCTACAGTTGGTTAATGGCGAGTAACTGAGCATAGTGCATGTAGAGCTCTATATTTACCGAATCTATCTCCCATTTTCCCTTTCTCAATGGGTTGAGTACTTGAGTCTACCCAATATTAGATCCGAACTGACCGAACCAATTATAACGGTTTTAATTATATGATTTTGTCCTAATAAATAATTTGATTGGTTTCGATTCTTAACCATCTCAAACCAATTCACACCCAGGCTTGATTATTTTGTTAAACATATACTCTTTTTTTAATTTTTTATAAATCTTTACCATGTTTTATTTTTTTAAATGATAGATTTGATAAATAATAAATAAGACAATATTAATTAAAATATTTAATTTATTAACATATAAATGATTTAATATTTTTATTGTTTTTATTAAGATTATATTATCAAAATTTAAACTTTAAAATACAATTTAAATAAACAAATATTTTTGTTCCGATTAATAATCGGTTCGGAACTGGTAATATCGAAACCCGACATATAGATCCGATCCGTTGACAGCCCTACGTTTCTGACTCTGAGTTCTGACCATGTAACGTATAATACAGCCGTCACCGGATCTGACCCAAATTTCCTGTAATCAAAGTAGTAGGCAATCCACACACGTTAGGAATAAGAATTGAAAGCTCGATTCGATACCTTAAAAAAAAGTAGTCTCAGAAGTCGGAAGAGAAGAAGCCGACTCCCCTCCCCACTCTTCCATGTTCAATACCTCTCATTTCCTTTCCTTCTGCAGGAAACAACGTTAACATGCGAAGGAGGATCCATACACCGCCGGCCCTCTCAATCTTTATCTCCGTCCTTCTCCTCGCTTCTTTCTCTCTGTATCTCTCAAGAGATGTCTTCTCCGGCGAAGAATCCCGTCCCTCTCCGTCGCTCTTTAGAAAGCGGTTCAGTAATCTCCCCCTCAACTTTGCAGTAACCGAAAATCAGTATCGCCACCGCAGCAGCCATCACGTCTCTTCTCTCGGGGAACTTTCACCGGATGCAATCCTCTTTCCCGACTGGGAGGTCCTCCTCGTCCTCTCCCCGCGGGATTCTTTGCCGTCGGATTCCAGTGATGGTTACTTCTGCCTTTTCCAAAATAACGCCACTTCCCCGGCTAGACCCACCGGATTTCTGCCGTTTCATCAGCTTGTCACCTTCAAGTGTGTCCTTCCTAGCAGCGTCCGCCGCCTACGTCCGTTTTACCAGCCGATCCTGACGAAATCACCGGAATATTATTGGCTAGGAAACGATTCAGGCTCGCCTGAGTTGCTCCGATGGAGCCACCTTGCTTATGAATCCCTATCAACGGAGAATGATGTCGTCTTGTTCGCCAAAGGCGTTAACCAACGTCGAGACCGCAGCCGGCCCCCATCGGAGCTCCGGTGCGTGTTTGGCGACGACGCGACTAAGGCAGTCAGGACGGAAGTTACGATCTCTTCACAGGAGGTTTTCCGGTGTCGCCACCCCGACGAGGCATCGCTGCGCCGTCTGTTTAATGGAAGGGACGACGAGAGAATCAAAATTTCACTCGAAGTTAGACAACAGAAGAAGGTGACGGTGGTGCCATCGTTGGCCTATTACTCCGGCCCCCGTAAAGTAACCAGCGAGAAGGGGAAGTCGCTAGTGTGCGCATGTACGATGGTTTACAACGTGGCAAAGTTCTTGAAGGAGTGGGTGATTTATCACTCCAAGATCGGAGTTGATAAGTTCATCTTATACGATAACGGGAGCGACGACGGCCTGGAGAAGGTGGTGGAGCAGCTGCTTCTGCAGGGATACGACGTCAAAACCTTACTCTGGCCATGGCCGAAGACGCAGGAGGCCGGGTTCTCGCACTGTGCTGTGTATGCCAGAGACTCATGCACATGGATGATGTATGTCGATGTGGATGAGTTCGTATTTTCCCCATCATGGCTCAAGTCTCTTCACCCATCTCCTGACATGCTGAAATCTCTTTTGCCATTGCCGAGAACATCTCATGGATCATCGTCGTCTTCATCAGGACTACCCATTGCACAGATTATGATGAGATGCTTGGACTTTGGGCCGTCCAACCAGACATCCCACCCAATTCAGGGAGTGACGCAGGGCTACACTTGCAGAAGAAAGATGGAACAGCGGCACAAGTCGATAGTGTTGCTGGAAGCAGTGGATACGACGTTGATAAATGTAGTTCACCATTTTCAGCTGAGAGAAGGGTACAGAGGGAAGAGGTTGACGAGGGGAGAAGGGGTGGTGAACCATTACAAGTACCAAGCTTGGTCGGAATTCAAGGCCAAGTTCCGGAGGAGGGTCTCGGCTTATGTGGTGGATTGGAGACAAGAGTCGAACCCTATGTCCCAGGATAGGACCCCTGGACTAGGGTTCGCACCCATCGAGCCCAAAGGGTGGGCTACCAAGTTCTGTGAGGTGAATGATAGTAGGTTGAAGGTGGCCACTCAAAGATGGTTTAGGTTCGGGTTGGATTCTCCGACTGGGTACAAGATGGCTTGGCAAGATTAGGGTTAGGAATGGGGACTGGGGAGGCATCAATTCTGTCTACCTCCCTGCTGTCATGGTTTGGACCCAAGCTCTCAGCCAGATGGACATGGAAGAGAAAAAACAGAGGAAACATGGATTGGTGAATACTGTAGTCTGTAGAGGATATACATACACATTTGGAATTAATTCTTTATTTTTTTTCTTTGGATTTTCTTTTATTTTTGTTTATTCTCTTTCCATTTTAGGATATAGGAACAAAAACGGGCACATACTTTCCATTCTTGTAAAATAAGTTCAAAATATGGGTAACACAACAAATATCCAAAAGTCAATTTTAACCAGGGTAAATTGGTGAAGCCTCCGCTAATAAGTTTTTTGTTTTTTTTGGCTGTTGCTTAAACCTCTTGTGAATTTTTTGACATAGTTGCAAACAGACCCCTTTTGTTAGAATCCCTCTAAAAAGAGACATGAAAATGTTCAAAATACCCATATAGGTACTTTTGATGAAAATGTTTGTTTTCCAAATTTTCTCCTTATATAAATCACTAGATCAAACCTTCAATCTCTTTTCTTAAATTGACTTAATTTGTTTTTCAGATCTCCATTTCATATCAAATGCTCAAAGGTAAAGGTGCATCTTTAACTCTTTTTTTATTGTTTATAAAGTTTGTATTATTTTCTTTTTGTAGAAACGGGCTTCAATAGTAATTATATGGATATTTTGGACATTTTATGCCTCTTGTTAGTAGATTCTAATAAAGGGGATCTACTTGCAACTGTCACAAAATTCAAGGGAAGTGATTATAATTACCAAACTTCAGGGGAAGTTTCAGCAATAGTCAGATACTTCAGAGGAGGTTTCAACAATTTACCCTTTTAACAAACATATTGGGAGATGCTTTGAATACATATGAATACAGTAGAAAAACTAGGATGCGCTAGTAAAATTCAAATAAATCCCCCACCAACTAGACATTCTCTTACTCACTTGATATGTTGCTTGGATTAATGAGTTGGGATTTCCTATCCACAAGAACCCTATCTACACTTACCTATGCCTCACTACAGCTGTATATTTAGAACATCATCCATATTTGTATGTTAACATTCATGGAAAGATATTCCCAATGTACAACTTTAGTATCCTGTAGATATGATTCTTCTTGTGGATAGGAGATCTGAATTCTGGATTAAGGTGCAATACATTACTTCATTTATATATTTAGGATGAGCATGAAAAGACAAATGGTATTTGCTATCAATATGATGACAAAAGCCTCCATCTTTGTCCAACCTGGGACCAACGACGACCTAAGACAAGCTGTATTAACCGGCGGAGTTGCTTTCTGGCTACAAAGGATATTTCTGAGAAATTGAGACTTGATGACCCAGTCCTTGATTAGAGGTCTTACGTGGTGAAGTCATCAAAGAAAAGAATTCAGTGGGCAGCCAAACACCATAGCCGTTGGTACGTCATCTTAACTTGGATGCATCGCATACTCATTTGGTCGATGGTCGTCTAGATGATTTGATGGAGAGAGGTTACCTACCTGGGTGGAGCAGGAAGTTTCCCAAGAATCCCAACACCAACACAACCTACCAGAATTTAGACACCTGGAGTCATCCCTGATGGGATAGGAGAGGTTCTGGATTGACCCACCATATCATATTAAAAAAAAAATGGTTGTGAGATCAATTTCACCAACAATTGGTTTTGTATTGATAAAACGGAAAGGTACATGATGGAATCAAACTCAAGGTGAGAGTTTTGAGAGCTCTTTTCTAAGCAAGATTTTTCCAGCCATTAATTTTAGTGTTAATTACTCTGTAACCCAATACAGAATTCTGAATGACAGCCCCCCATGGTTTATTAGTAAATCTCCCCCCCCCCCCCTTCTTTATAAATCGCATCCTATCCGTAAATTTGACCTTAATTCATGGTCAGGATTCATCCTCTGCACGATGGAACTACAAAATTCTGAACTGGATTGATCAGTTATGGATTTGATGGTACTGAAGAGCGGGGAAGGAGCCATGGGCCCCCTATGGCCGAGAATTCTCCATTTGAAATATAATTTTTCATGTAAAATCCCCCCCTCCCAAACTCTCCACCCCAATGGTTGCCTTCCCTATGGGCCAATCCATACATATTCCCCTTTCTCCCACTTCACTTTAGGTTTTGGCCCCCTCACAAAAAATTTTAAGCTCCGCCCATGATCTAGACACTGCCGTGGTCTCCCCCATTCTTGGGTTTCTACTTGCAGAGCTGAGTTCGCATTTGCTGCAACACTGTCGTATAGTGTCGTAGCACGCAAGGGTAAAACATAAAATCATAGCCTTGGATCTATTACAGTGGCCCCATCAAAAAGTCACCTCATCTAACTCAAGGTGGGGTCATGACAGCAAATCAAAGGCTTTGATAGGCTACAACACTATCGTAGCAAATGTGGATTGCCTAGACCGGGCTTTGAATTGCCATCTAATATGTCCGAAGTACAAATATGGCGTTTGAGTCGCCATTCCTTTCAAAGTGAAGAGCTCTCTACTCATGCTTTGCCACTCCTTAAATTTGTTCCAAGTTTTATCCAGCAATTTTGGATCGCCATTTTCAAAATCTATACCTTATCCCAACTATATAAAATCTAAATCTGCTACATAAATCTTATTTTATCAATCCATTCCATTCAATGCCATATCCACTATTAAATTATGATTAGTGATTAAATCATTTTTTAATTAATTATATCATATTATTTGTTTCTATCCCAAGCAACTTCGGTCTCTTTCCAGTTAAATATAAATGACCCTTTTCATTATTCATAAATCATTTTTCTATCAAATAAAATTAGGTTTTCGGACATAACTGTACAACCCGGTTGTGTGTATATTTTAGAGAGTCATTGTTGGGAGCAGATCTGGACCCCACTAGCGACCAGGTTGAGGCCAACTCATTCTCACTGTCCCAAAACTTGAAAGTTCCAATCCAACACTTCTAAGGTAAGAAGCCTGGACTGGAAGGACAATCACAACTGTCCTCCCAACGGAACGCGTTGTCGTGACCCAAACGGAAAAGCAACTGCTCTACCAGACGCTGACCCGAAAAAAAGGCAAAAAATAAAATGAAATGAAGTGAAAATGAAAATGCTAGAATCAGTACTCATTTTAATTGATGGATTATTTTTAAGTATGATTATCTGTCTGTATCAATGTTATCTCTTATTATTAACTGAATGGATGGTCCAACTTTCAAATTGGGCCGGAGAGACTGATTTAGCTTTTGCTTTTATTAAGAGAAGCTCTAGCTCTGTGCCTTCTCTTGAAAACATCTTGTCTGAACCTCTTGGTCTCGGTCTGTATCTCCATGAAGGGTTTCCTCTCTATGCCTTGTTTCTCACTCTCCAGCATCTTTTGCCTCTTTCTTACAGCCAGGGCTGCCACCTTGTTCTCCTGTTCCTGCCGCTTTGCTTCTTCCTGCAAATCGGTTTTTGTTGAGACCAGCTCAAAATGCAAACTGCATGTGTGTGCGTGCACGCATGTCCATTGCTAGCAGGGCTTTAAAGGGCAGGAGAACACCTAGAAAGGCGCTGGGATCTCTTAAAGAGTTGAGGTGTAAGGTGCAAGGATGCATTAAAAATCATACAAAGCCAGAAAGGACAAAGACTACTTTTACATAGAATACAAATAACCTTCAAAGAGTAAAAAAACAATAATCACATTCTTAAAGATAAGTGCTAAAACTCATATAACATCACTTTTACACACAAGGAAAAACAATATACTTGAGAGATGTTTGGGATCGATGGTAGAGATTTTTCAAAAATCACCAATTTCTGAGATCGAGAAATTGCTTGTTTGGAAAATTGGTGTCATGCCAGTCGGTTATAAGTTTGTTTGGTGGTGATTATCAACAGTGATTTTTGTGCTTATAAAATCTCTCTCTCCTATCCATGTCAGATACCACATCATCCAAAAATAATCGGAATCGATTTTAATATTTGATTTCTGAGAAATAGGCCAACCAAACAGTAAAATAATCAGTCTTTTTTGGAATCGTTGATGTGGCACCAATTTCTAAGAAACTTTGGTTTTTGAAGAAAACTCTACTTTAATGAATGTATAAAATACATGAAACATATCAAGGCAAGAGGCTTGTGCCTTGTACTTTTTACTTTTTAGGCTTGAGCCCCAAGGTGAAGCCTCAGGGAATCTTCCTTAAGTCTCACCTTAAAGTCAGCCTCAAGGTGTTAACCTCAAACAACTTTTAAAATGCTGGTTAAAGCATGTGAAATTGTGAATGATTGTATACATCCCCCAAGACACCTAAAACATTTGGCATCGATAATGATTCCTCCTTGCCGATTATCCAGAAATCAGTGAAAATTTTCGAAAAATTGTTGTTTGCCAATTGTTGAGAAATCGGTTTCGAGTCTGTTTGGTACTGATTCTCAATGGCCAATTATTTTTGTATTAGAGTTATTAGTCAATGCCATGCTTGATACAATGTCAAACTCAAAAAATCGGAATAAGCTAAAAAACAGAAAATCATCATTAAAAAAAAAAGAAAAAAAAAATCCCTGAAAAAGGGTTCATTTTAATAATCGATTTTTAACTGATTTCCTAAAAACCACCAAAATCAGCCAACCAAAAGGAAATTTCAACGCCAATTCCTTTTAATGCTGACATGGCTGCAACATGGCAGTGGTTTTCAAGAAATGATCATCGATGCCAAACATCACCTTAGTTGTCGTCTTGGGAAGATATTTTCATACTATGCAATTGGAGAATGCACCTCAAATGACCAAAGAAGCAACGAAATATAGGGGTTACCATTTGGTTGGGTCTAGGCCAGATTGGGGTAGACCTAGTCCCTAACTGAAGAAAAACAACCTAAGGGGTCTAGGGGTAATAAACCGGTAAAGGTTAAGAACCTAGACCGTGCATGTCATATAAAGGTGATTTTTTTAATTTGTTGTTTGAGTTGAGGTTCTGAGACAGCCTTACCATGTGTTCTTTCGGAATTGAAGATCCCATGCGGTCACACCTCTGCCTTCTAAAACAATATATCATAAAGGTATTATAAATCAACTCTAAAATTACAAGATTGGATTGGGCAGCCATTTGAAACACACAAACATATGCATGAAAGGGTTTGTCTACCATGCAGGGTTCTAAATATCGATACAGGCCGACAAGCCGGTTGGGGTGTATCGGCCTGTAAACATTGGGCACTTTTATTAGTTTTTTTCTTTTTTTTTCAAACTGGTTCAGGGGGGGTCGGTTTAAGCCTGTCTACCCCCTGAACCAGGTCAGACCCTGAAACACCTACTGAAGGGGCATATCGGGGAGGGGGGGTTTCACCGGTACGTTGCAAAATTTCAATCCTTGATACCATGTGATGTACATATATGATTGATATATCTAGCTAAAGTGGTTCAGCTAGGTCCTTGTTCCACTGAATTAGGGTACATCTGGTGCAAAAACCAATTGTTCACGAGTCCCAGTAAATTGGACCAAGAACTAACTCGTTGGAACAAGGACTTTTCCCAGATCTTACAATAAGGTTGGATTCATTCAGGTCTGTCAGGTAACCTATTGACAGTCCTAAATGCAGTACCAAAATCAGAAAATATGCAATGCAACTTGGCAGACCAAGAAAAGCAGAGTACCTGGAGGCTATGTATTAGAGTGTCAAGAGATTTAATCTTCCTATGTGGCCAACGAGGAATACCAAGTTCCCTGCACTTCCTCTTCAGCACAGTAACTCCAACCTTCAGATTTCTTGAAGCTTCTGCTATCGGAAGATTGAAGTATTTGACAATATCAGATAAAGCAATTCTAGCTATGTCTTCTGTTGTTGCCCTCTTCTTCTTCAAAACCTCTGCAATCTTTCATTTAAACTATAAGAAGATGAAAATGATAAATTGGAGGATAAAATGCTAAAAAAACGAAAAGATTTTCTAAATTCTTTTATAGGAATGGTCACAATGAACCAATGGGAACCTCCTTCCACAGGCTACAACTAATTGGCATTCCTAAGCACAATGGCATAGCCGCATAGGTGAAAGGTTGCATATCTACAACTTTACAAAAATAATTTTAAGGTCAAAAGAGCATATAGTTTGAAGAAGATGAGAGGTAGTCAAGGTTACTTGGAAATACAAGAACACGAGAACACTTAATAATAAAATCAAATATTCTTAAATGGAACATATCTGATTATATGATTAAGTGAAAATAATGAATAGCTTTTGGAATGTATGCACTGCATGAAAGCACAAGTATAGTTGGAATTTCTGTCACTAATATATATCGCCTGGATAAATGAAACAACCACCATCTTATTCATTATTAAGCATGTTAAGAATTGATTTTTTCTTCACATAAAGATAATTTAACGTAACATGGGTGGACACCATATAAGATCATGAATCAAACAATGTCAGATTCCTATTGGCAGGCACAAGTTAGTTCCCCATGCTCAGTCTTCCTTTAGTTCTAGATGATTCTGCAAGTGATGGCCGAGAATGAGAAGTCCAAAATTAAGTTCCATGGCATTTTAGTTGCTTATTTAATCAATAAAAGAGAAGTTAGCTGCTAGTGTATAATAATGCCATCCACCATGCCATTTCCTGTCTAGAGATTAGCTTTTTGTCCATTATGAAGAGAGGAAAAGAAAAGATTGAGTAAGAAAATAATTTCCAACCTGGTACAGCTTGGTTCAATTGCTGGTTTTCTGTTAACTCTGGTGAAACAACAGGAAGAGGGAGACAATTAAGATCTTGATTAAACATGGGTCTTGTTGATTGATTATTATCTTTCTTCTCTTCACACATTTTCTTAGGTGCAAACGGTGATGGCTCTTGGTTTTCACTTTGGTGCTTCAACTGGAAAATCTCTTGAAGATCATTAGCCAATGTTGAAATTGATGTCAATTTGGAGTTTCTGAAAGGTGGAAAACAAATATTACGTAAGTACAATAAAAAGAATTTACACCTAACTTTCTTTGAAATGCAATGACCAATGATGCCAATAAACATAAAGGTTAGTATCTTCTGATGGATAATGAAAGATCAGTGCCTAAGATGTTTTAAGCTTCAGTGGCCACCACAAACTAGTTTAATACTGTTCAGTCATGGGAATTCCCATTTAATAATCCACAAGAAAAGCCATAGTTTAATAGTCTGTAAATCTATAAACCAAAAAATCACAAAAGAAAAAAAAAAACAGGGAAGACAAGATTTGACATGGTTCAGCAACATTGCCTACATCCATGGATGAAGCCCTGCAAATTTTCATTATATTCTCTTAGTGGAAATACCACACTAGCTCTCTCCTGCTAACCTCTAAACAATAGAGTTTTCTGACTTTCTCCTCTACATCTTTTTCTTTGCTTTAAGAACAAAGATTCTTCATCTGGTGGAGAGGCTCCATCTTATTTTGCATTTAATTTTTTTTTTTGATAAATGACAGACTTTTATTAAAAGATAATAATAGAAAAGGTACAAAAGGAGGGGTAAAAATTCTTAACCCTCCCAAGAAAGCAATTCAAATTACAATGTTGCCCAGAAGAAATTAACTCTTCCCACCCTTTGTTTGGCCAATGAATCTGCCAAGGAGTTGGCGCACCTCTTTATACATTGAAACTTGACTTCCATATTTTGCATTTAAATTAGTGAGACTCCAAACCCCAAGGCAGGAATCAGGCAGAGAGTAAAGGTCATTAATCAATGCTGGTTCCAGTTATCAGGGGCCTTTGGAGGGGTGGACTGGATATGAACCTAGCACCTGGCATTCCTAACACAAAGTGGCTGCTCTCGTACTTGAAAACTCAATCTTGTCAGCCTGAAATTTTACCATGGCACAAGAATAGAGGAAAGTTTATATCCATATTTCTCCTCTCTCTGCCCTTCTCTTTGTCTCTTCTTTTTCTTTCCTTGTTTGTCCAAATCCATAAAAGATCCACTTGCAAAATGATCTATAAGATGCCATTACTGCCTCGGACATGGTATATTTACCCCTTTTAGCTCTTCTTTTGTGAGTAAAAAACTTTTTTTCCATTATCTTTCATCTGAGTCACCTAATCCATATCCTGCCAACTTTTTTTTTCAATAAGTTGTTTTCAAGTTACTACATCCATAAGGAATTTTGCTTGTACTCAGTGGTCTAACACCTATGATGAGCCTTCTTCTGCATTTCAAGGATTTACTTTCTACCACAGTTTTCAATGATTTACTACCTACAGCACATTGCACCTAGGCAATTAGATGCTGACTCCATTAAAGCTGGCATCCTCCATATGTGTGAAGCTTAGGGTGGATCCACAAAGCCCGAGCTGATGATTGTAATTTTAAGTGGCCTTGGGGAGACATTTCTGTGACATCTTCAAGGTTCAAAGAGAACAATATATCCACGATTTGTCACTGCAGGATAACATAAGCCTAGGATCCCTCCAAAGCCTAAATACGACCAAAGACTACATCCTACAACATTCAAATCTGGTGGCAGCCTTCTTAGGGTGGAGAAAGTTTAGAAAGATAAGAATAAGAACTCTTACTATTAGAACAGAAAGCAAAGAGATAAAAGAATGAAAAATATCTGGATACAACCAGAATTCACTAGACCAAACTTTTGTTCATCAAATAAATTCTTCTGAATTTCAATTACAATGACTATATTTATAGACCCAATATAAAGGCTGAGATGTCCCTTTACAAACTCCAAACTCAACTAGAAAACTGACCACTTACTTTATAATAACACAACTCCAAGAACAGCTTACTAATCCATTTGTAACTAAACAAACCCAAAACAGCTCCAAGAAAGTCCAAGAAGATAGAAAGACTAAATTCCTATCATAGATCAATGCCCTATCAATTGAACAGGCGTAACTCTCCCAAAACAAATAAGATTTACAAGATATTGGTCTCATTGGATAAATAACTCCATAAACTATCTAACGGCACCAAACTAATGCAAGATGGATGAATTTTGGCCCCTGAAAAGTAGGCTGAAAGAAAAATGAGATGATTTCATTTCAACTTTTAAAATTCTCAAAATTTTCTAATAAGACTATAATTTAATTTGATCCTTTGAAATGACCAACCCTGTTACTAAGATACTAACAAACTAGAAAATAACTATCAAAAGATTCAAATTGACCAAAATTAGAAACACCCAAAAGTTATGAAGTTTCCATTTGATAAGGAATTGGGAGAAAATGGCTTCTTTCCTCATGGATCCTTGCTTCCATCCCTGCACTAAAGATCCCATTCTCCAAAACTCAGTAAGATGATCTGCTTCTTGAATTTGTAAACCAAATAAAAAAACAAGAAAAAAGAACAGAAGCTAAAAATTGTTTGGAATCATCTCTTCAAGGAACAAAGCCAAAGTGGTTACCAGGAATTGAGGAAGAGCTTGAGAATATAAACAATTTTGCAAAGGAGAGACTAAATAATGGAAACTAGGAGACAAACCTTGAAATAGGCAATACCATGCTTGAAGAAAAGGGAGAGGAACACAAGATGCAGCCACTGTCCAACATCAAGTGTTGCCATAAGAGGACAATCAAGGTTCAATATCAAACTTAATGGCCTTCTGAGGCTTCCAGTGAGGCAGGATCAATAGTTTTCATGAAGCTTAAAATATATCCGAGTCAAGGTTCCTGAGTTTGCAACGAGGCAAATCTAATGCTATTTCATATATTGAATTATAATAATTTGGTATGCAATCTCCAAAACCAGTAGAGGGCAAGTCTAAAACCTATTCTACATATCTGATTAAAATTGGGTCAGATGCATGAAGGGAAATTTCAAGAAAATCAGATATAGCGGAAATCATGTGAGGATTTTAAATCTATAGGTTAAGGAAATTATAAGATCAAACAAAGAAAATAGGTAGGATGTCAGCAGCCTAATTGCATTTATATCTTGGAGATTTTATTACTTTGGTTGAGAGATATAAAGCAATTATAAACCTGGAAGGAAGTAGAATCTAAATTCAAGAACTAAAGAAATACAATAGTTCAATAACTAGAACAAGGGAAGATAAATAATCAAAGATAAATCAACAATTATAAGATAGTAACAAATAACAGTAGGCCAGACCCCACCCCAGCTTCAGTTAGAGCCTCACCAATTCTTGAATGAAAACCTTAATGTAGTTGCACTTCCAAAAACAACTAGAATATTTCCTGCAGAATTGTATAAAATAAAGCAATGCCAAAGGCAAAATCTTTATTTGAAACTCATAATTGTATTTGCAGCCAAATTATGGACTTCGTTCATTTTTTTCCCAAATGTGGCAATCATATATCAGACCCATAACTTGTATCTTCACCAGTCAATGAATTCCACTGTACTGAATGGAGAATAACTCTCTTCCCCTCCCGGGCCTCCCCCAGTTGGTAATGCTTCATAAAAGAGTTCTCTGTGGCAGAATTTTATTTGGATGCTAATATATATTGCCACAAGAACAGAAGCACCAGCTAGAGCTGCCAGCATTATAAGAACGGTCTGCTAAGAACACTTGGGATAATTCTCTATCGACCTTATTGCAATAACTATCTTAGGCCATTGCAACACTTCAGACGAGACCGAGGACATAATAAGGTATTAACTAGTAAAGACTACAGAGAGAACCTTAGAATTACGTCAAATCCTATAGCAAAAGGTAAGAGAGGATATTGATGGTATTATAATTGTTGATAAAGAAATGGCGCAAATAACAAGAGAGGCTACTTATGGTATTATCACTGCTGAAGAATGGCATGTGTATCACCCTCAAGCCTCAATTTGAATCTAATATTCTTTTACTCTGCTCTTTTACCCACTAACAATAAGGTTAATATCTTGGAAACACGAAACAGAGGTTCTAGATGGCATGCACTAATAACTGAAATTTATAAAAAATCGTAAATGATCAACTCAGAATTTTCGACTGTTTTATCCAAAATCATGTAAAAATAGAAAGAAAAAAAAAAGCAGCTGAAATGGGTACCTTGAGACTGCGAGAATATAAGGAATGGGGGTCAAGGGAGGGGGACAATCAGTATCAAATGCGAATATACAGAGCCACAGACCAATTACCAAACCTTGGAAGAGCTCCGAGAACTGGCGCCTCGACAACTTAAGAAGTGGTTGGGCTACCATTTCCGCATAACAATTCGGAGAGAACATGAATTCTCTCTCCACGCCCTTTTCGTCGCCATCCTCGAGCGATAGACATGAACGCTCCTGATCAGTTCTGCCAAGTAATCAGAAGTAAACGTGGAAAATGCTCATCAGAATATCGACAACTTGGAAGGTACCCAGCCAAAACCAAAAGGGAGGGAGAGAAGGAGAGGTGAGATCACGAGAGAGAGGCCCAGATTGACAAAAAACAAACGACACAGAGAACCAGGGAAAAAAGGGGAGCAGCTAAAAAAGAAATACAGAGAGCAACAATCTTCCCGCCACGGGCGAAAGCAATAAAAAGGCCTGTGTACCTCCATTGAGGATGTTCTTCAATACTGCGAGAGAACAGAGAGCCGGAGAAGAGGACTTCCAGAAGATTCCATGATCATGGTTTTATTTTTAAAGTTGGCATCGGAGAAGAAAAGCGTGACCTAGGTGAGAGGAGAGACTGTGGAACATCACTTTCACTTACATATATTGAGGGTCTGCATGTCTGGTCTGAGTTTGTCGTCCTCCCAGTCTGAGCTCAGGTCTGTTACTTGTTTGGTGGCCGACCAAAAAGTCCATATAGTCTTCACTAATCTAACATAATTCCAATCATATCCCTAAATTTTTTGTTACCGAATTTGGAGTTTTTTTGGAAAATAAATTAATAAAATAAAGGAAATATCATAGAAAAGACATGGTATGTGAAGAGATTTGAGTCATTTGACCCTTTGATGAATATCACCTTATTTGTCATCTCTTTTATGATACCTATTGAGCTCTAAAATAAATAAAAATCATAGTTTTTAAAATCGACCTGGAGACTGAATCGGTCAGGGTGAACGGTCCGATAGTTCGATTCGAACAATTGGCCCGTTCTGATAAAATAATTAAAAAATAAAAAACGGTTAAAGTTGTTCAAACGATTCAAACTGTTTGAACGGTTAATTGCCTGGGTCAACGATTTATTAATCAAAATCAATGGTTTTTTAAGAAAATCTGGTTTTGGGGAAAATCAAAATCGTTCCCCTAACCGATTTCTGGTTTTTCTGGTCCAACCATCCAGTTCGGTCCAATTTTGAAAACTATGATAAAAATTTATAAGATGGGATAACTTGAAGATTTCTATGGTGCTGAAAAGGCATAATACAAGAAAGGCTTTGAACAATTGATTGATTATAAGTTTTTTGGTATCATATGTTTTTGTGATTTACTTGGCCTCTTTCATGACTTCACTAAAACTACCCTCTAATTTGTATATTTATCTATTCCATTTTATGAATGAAAAGATTCCATTCTACGAATGGAGAAGTATGTGGGCATTTTTGTTGTTAGGTTATATATAGATATTACTATAAAAAGTACATATGAGGATATGAAATTTTTTTTACTAAAATAACTTCACATTAGAATTTAGTTCCCCTCTACTTGTGATGACTAAAAATGTAATTTGAATTACTACTTTTTACCTCATTTAACTCTCTCTCATTAAATCTTAAATATTTAAGGTATTAATTACTATCACCTCATTTAATTCCCTCTCATTGTATTTTATACTTAAGATATTAATTTCCATTTTCTCTCATTAAATCTTATTTTTATGGTATTTTTCTTACTGATAAATTCTATTAATTATCTAAAAAAGAGAATTCTACTAATCAAATCTACATCTACTACTTTTAATAATACAAAACTCAAGTTTTCTAAAACCAACCAAAAAATAAAATCATATTTCTATTCGGTGGCAATTAAGTAATTCAACCATCCAAGTCAAATGTGTCAACCCGTGATGTCATAATTAAATAATAAATTTTTTTTATTAATGATGAAAATGAAATGCAAAATTTAAAACTAACCAAAAAATTAAAAGTTTTTCCCATTTGGTGGTGAGTCAATAATTCAACTTTCAAGTCAAATGTACCAACCTTTGATGTTTTAATTAAACAATAAAAATTTAAAAAAATGTAAAAGCAAAAAAAAAATTACATAAATTTTGCATAAAAACATTTGGGCATATCTTTAATATTCCATATTCATCATATTAAATAATAGGGAAAATTCCCGATTAGTACTTTTTACTTTGGCCCCCAAACATTAAAACACAACAATTTAGTACCCGAACTTTTAAAATGTGTCAATCTAGTACCTACCATTAACCAATCATTAAGTAGCATTTAAAAAGGCACAAATACCCTTCGAGTGTCATCTAATTCTCTTTATCAACCATCCAAACGTTGATAAAAAAAGAACAGTCACAAATCCTTGCCTCTTCTATTCAAGAAAGTTTGGGTCATGTGAATTGTCGCATTTTTAAGTTCGATCACCAAAGTGGCACTAGACCCAAAGTATAGGGTTATTAATTGTGAATTCTCCCTAAATAATAATAATTGTGATGGATCATAATTATTTTTATACACATAAATATAAAAAAGTGTAGAAAATTTTGAAAATAAATTTTGTAGAAAATATTTGGACACATCTATACTATTATATATTCATCATATTAAACAAAAATAAGTGTAATAAATAAAAATTCTTTTTATACATATAAAAATTATAAAAATATAAAAAAATTAGACAAATGATTACTATCTCCTTTTATACTAATACTACTAAAATATCTACTATAATTTGCAACTGTTTTACTTAATTTCCGTATAAGAATGGTCCACCTATTCTTTTAAAATGAGTGAAAATGTGAAAGGGTATGGGTTCAAGGTTTATAATTCAAAAATACACATGATAGTTCTCAAATCACCTTTTGGACTCTCCATGCCTTCTTTATACGAAGCTATAAAGTGGGGGAGGGTTTAGTTCTTAGATCTCATTTGGTTTGCAGGAATAGGGGTTTGGAATCAGAATTGGAGTGGTTCATTCCGATTCCAACTATTCTCTCCCCCTCCCTTGGAAATGAAATCCCATTCTAGCTAATTTCAATTCCCATTGTAATTCCTGTTTGAATCAAATAGACTATGGAATAAACCATTTCTATTCCAATTATAGGGGATTTAGATTTGAAATCTTACTATAAAGTATAAACCAAATGGACCCTTAATGTTTTACTTTCATTTTTTTTGTCAGACTATATTACTTGGTTCTGTAGTCTAGACATTAATGAATGAATTCTACCTTCATGGCCATAGATTAAGAAAAAAGAAGTCACTAAACTATTTCAAACAAGGTTTTTAAAACTGAATTGGACAACGAACCAGTTAGGGATCCGATTTCCGGGTCGAACAGTCCAACCGTTTGAATTGAACGAATGGCCTATTTTGACAAAAAAATTAAAAAATAAAAAAGAATGGCCAAACCATTAAACGGTTTGAACAATTTAACCGCCTGAATCAATAATTTACTGACCAAATCAATAATTTTTGGAAAAATAATAATTCTAAAATAAAATGAAATTAATCATCTAATCAATTCCGGATTTTTCCAGTCCAACCATCCGATTCGGTCCGGTTTTGTCTCGTCAACAGAAGAAAGAGAGAGGATATTAAGGAATATGGAGAGAGATGGCAAACGAGAAGAATAAATATTCCTTAGCCGTTACATTTAATGGCTACCATACGCGTTTGTGAGCGTGTTAAAAGAACACACTCATTTCACGTGTACTCACCTCGACTCGGGATTGATTTATGTCCACACATCATGTATGGGACCCATCACAAGACAAAGACAGGAACCACCATGCATCATGCATGTGATGTGATGTGATAAATTGATAATATCCTCTCGTTTTTGGGTTAAATATGTCCACAGTCCACACCTCTGGCTAAATTAATTCATGGGCGATTGGGCTCTGGTTCTGATTGCATCCGTGGATACCCAACAGTCTGACACTAATTCGTTAATCAAGGAGTGCTTTTCAGCCATCAGACTGGTCCGGGTATGGGTGACACAGGACCGTTTCTTGGATTTGGACGACAAATAGTATTCCATTTACCCTAAGACAGCCCATAATTCAGCAATCAAGATCATATATATATACACGGTAAAATAAAATACAAAAGAATTATATAAGAGAATAAATGCTAAGAGGAACAAATGGGAATAAGACACGCCACAATCAAGATAGTCAACCAGCTTTGTACACTCTTTGACAATGGTCTTCAATTTGCAAGTGCCATCAACATGCTTCTTTTTTTTTATCAATAGTATTTTTATTAGTTCATCAGTAGAAAATTTATAAGTGGAAGACAAACATATTTATCTTCCAAGAGTCACAAAGAGCTTCAAGAAAGGAAAAAAGAAAATACAAAGACATTAACGTTACAGCTTAGCCCAAAACAAGGAATCCCTTTCTGCCTTTTGTTTAGCTAAACCGTCAGCTAGGGAATTAGCTGATCTTTTAATCCAACATGTCTTAATTTCCATCTCCCGCACCAGCCACTTGAATCTCCTCTTCTCATTATTATACTTCCATAAATCAATTTTATCTTTAGTCAGTCATCCTATCACCACCTCTGAATCCCCTTCAATTATAAGTTTATTGATGTTCAATTCCTTAGCTTTCTGGACTCCTTCCATAACTGTACAGATCTCAGCTCTAAGGGAGTCCTCCACTCCAATTGAGCCTGAGAACATAGTAGAGATGACCCCATTTTCATCCCTAAAAACACCCCGATCCCCGATTGTCCCGGGTTTCCCCTACTACATCTATCAAAGTTTAATTTCAAGAATCCACTAGGTATGGGGGGGGGGTCCAAGCCACTCAGTCACTGTACCGCCCTAAAATGTATGATAGTCCTCAAATCTGTTGTTCCTCTCTAAGTTTCTGAGAATAACCTAGAGTTTCTTTCTTCCCACAGTGTCCAACATACTGCAGCCCTTAGTCCTCTCCACATTGTCCTTCCCCTTTTTAACCGCCACCTRAAAAAGGAAGGGGAGAAAAGGCCATGCATGTCTGATGGGGGATTCCAGTTGCATCCAAATAAGGAGAAAACCCAATCCCACAATGATCTCGCGAAGTGGCAAGACACCATTAGGTGAAAACCAGTCTCCCCATCTGCTTTTCACAGAACACACCACTGAGGTGACAAGCAAATACTAGGTCTCTTCTTTTGGAGTAGATCACCAGTGTTGATTCTTTCCAGATAGGCTTCCCAACAAAAACTACCAACCCTAAAAGGTATAGCTCTGCACCAAACCTCACCAACAGGGAAAGGGGACAAGGTAGGACTAGTGGACTGACTTAAGACTTTGAAGAACGAAGCACAAGAGAAAATGCCATTGGGGTTAGGTGTCCAAATTCTAGAATCCGCCCTAGTGGGGTCTAAGACAACGTTATCAAGAAGTGCAAGAAGGCTCGAAATACAGTCGAAGTCTGAATCCCTCAAATCCCTTCTTAGACCCAAGTTCCACCCAATCCCAGAAGTAGAAGATGACAGGGTGGTGAAAGACGAGATCGGCTCATTTTTCAAATCAGAAAGAGCATACAAAGACGGAAATTAATCCTTTAGAGGGGCTCTCCCCACCTAGGTTTGTTCCCAAAATTTTATGGAGTTACCGGAATTCAAGTCATACCTGATATTAGGGAAGAAAATTGGTAGCAGGTCATGAATGGCTTTCCAAGGAGAATTGCTTGTGATCCTAGCTCTGATTCCAGTGTCCCATCCATTAGCCCGTAGCTTCTCCTTCTCCATAGGAAACCTCCACAACCACTTCCCCAACAGAGTCATATTCCTTCTCCTAATACTCTCAAGCCCCAAACCACCACACAACTTACTCCTACACACTATTTCTCAACTAACTCTATGATCCCTCTTCTCCTCTCCCGGCTCCCCATCAACATGCTTCTTTAGGCAAGAGATCACCGCAAGAGAATCACCTTCAATGCTGATATATATAAAGGTTCCTGAAATTTAGGGTAGGGGTGCAACTTTTTCGGATTAGAGTTGGGTTTTTGTTAAAATTTTAATAGGCCCAACTCGAAACCCGAGCCCGAAACAGTGTAAACTGTTAACTCGGGCCAACCCGACTTGCACCCCTAATTTAAGATAATAATATGAGCTTTCCACACAGTACACCAATAAAATAGGCTTTTGCATCAAGGACTCCCCTCTAGATGGTTCCTAGCAATATAAGCAATTGAACAATCTCCATTGTCATTTCTAAAAGCATAAAAGTTTATTTGTATAACCCCTTTTCCTGGGCTTTTCCATAAAGTAGGTCTTCAATTTTTCACATTACTAAAATTAGAATTTCTAGCATCACAAGCTATAAGTTTTATATAGGAATTTAAACCTCGATTAACTATAATCAATGGGGAGGAGGGGGAATCGATTATAAAAAATTTTTCATTCGTATTCTTCTATAGATACCAAAGAATGAAACTACATCTATATAGAATAATCAATAATGTTGGTTTAAATGTATGCTTGGTAAAGATTTATAAACTTAAGTCGTGTGAGAATTATTATCAATTCATTTTATTAATAATATATAATATCTTTGATAATTTTTAGTTTGATTTATCAATTGCACTTAATATCTAAAATTCTAAATACAATCCAAATTTGACCTAGATTGGATCTAAATCAAGGATTTTGCAAGAGTCACTACAGAACTTTTGACCACCATCTAAACAAATGCATGGAAATACAAATAAAGTGTAAGTTCCAGTTTACTTTTGCTTCAGACCTAATCTATTATTCTTTGTTTGTGAAAAGTAAAATGGTCAGATCTCATCACCTTCTATGCAAGAGAATGGAGGTAGAAAGAGAAAAATGTATCACATCAGGTAGAAGTGTAAATCATAGTTGCAACTTACAAACAAAAAGATGCAAAATCGAACCAGGTACAAAACATGTATCCGATTCAGATTTTCCTGCAACCAAATAAAGACTCACGTACAAAATCCAGGTGGACGGTTATACCTCCATTGCAATTCAATAATGGTTGCTTTATCCTTCCATAGATCGAGCATACAGCAAGCAAGGTTCAAAATATATATGGCCTATGCACAAGGCTCATTTCTCCTTTTTTTTCTCAAGTTTTTTACAATCTGGTTCATAGGGTCGATTTAAAACCCATCTACCCCCTGAACTATAATCTGACCCCAAAACACTCACTATAGATACATATTGGGAAGCCCCCGATATGATACATATCGACCAATACAGCCCAATACATATCGGAACATTGAACCTTGACGTCAATGCTTGGTATTAGTCGGCATTAGAGGACGAAGCAACCTGGACCACAAATAGAAAACCATACCAGCTACCAGCAAGATAAACAGAAAAGAGCCATCAATGCATGTCACTGTTGATTCTGGTAGCAGAGGGACGAGGTTTCCACTTTCCTGGAGATGCACCAAATAACTTAAAATTGAAAACCAAGCATTTAAATTAATTGGAATAAAAAAAATTTCCTTCTGCTAAATGATGGATTTAATGTTACAAATGGAAGTTTAGTTTCCTTTTGGACCTCAGAATTAGGATACATTATCTGTACAACGACGCCCCTCCCGGCTGCCGGCGGGCAAGGGAATCAAACTCTTTTACAGTGCAATTAGAATTAGAGTGTGGGCATGCGCCTTGCTCCCTCCTCTTCAACAACTTGGAGCTGCAACTCCTCAAAGCTGCAATAATAATATCTTACCAAGCTAAATAATAAATAACCACCCAATCCAACCATCCTCAAAGCTGCAATGCCAAGTCCGGCTGTGGCGACTCAACCCTGACGCTGGAGTTTGGAGATCCTGGTGACTGGAATCTGACATTCAAGTCGGGAGGAATTGTATCTGGCTTCTGCTGAAGTGACAGTCCCCGCCAAGTTGTTATGGGTCGGAGCCCAGATCCAGGTGCTGTTGCTGCTTCCTGTGTCTTGTCACCAGAATCCACCAAAGCACTACTGCTGATACTGCTGGGATTCATTGAACTCCCAGTCACAGGCAGCTTTGTATTATCCGACTGTAGATGGTTTACGGGTGCTGAATGGACAACGTTGTTATTATTATTATTACTAGTATTGTTATTATTATTGTTATTTTTATTATTATTATCACTACCACTATTATTAATATTAGTAGTCCTGGAAACCATGTCAGGAGGTGAACGAGAGGGCATTGACGTTTCTGAACCAAAACTCCCAGATGGCCTAGCTGGTCTGACCACTTTCCCCATCTGAGCCGCAAGGTTAGATCCAAATCCACCCCGAACACCATTCATTGCAGGTTGAAGTATAGGACCCTGATGAATCTGAAAGGGAGGCCTGGGCCTGATGGCTCCACTACCACCATTGTTCAGTAAAGTAAGCCCACTATCTTGTTTTAAACATCTACCAGCTTCCACACCCTCCGTGGTAGGCACAACAGATCTGTTTGTGGCTTCGGAAGATGAAAGGGCAGAGTTAGCTGGAAATCTGCTTGAAAGCCCATTTGAGGGCAAATTTTTCGAATGCTCTTGATTCTCTGGTGGTCTGTCTTCTTTCAACTCCATCAAGCGAGGTGACACCATAGATGACGAAACCTGGAGCGGAGGAAGTGACTGAGACGGCAGCTGTCCTGGTGGAGATGTTGACTGCAATTGCAGCTGTTGCGGTTGGGCATCATTTTCCCCCACCCAACCAGGACCAAACTTCATCCCAGCAGGCAACGTCCTTGATATCTTCTTTGAGGCAACTCTCCATGCAATGGGCCCAAGATTTGCGGCAAATCGAGCCAAACTCCTTGTATAACCATGTTCCGAGTGGAGACCCACCTGATTCAGATGTAGCCATTTCACAATTAGAGCACTCAAAAGTCAACAGAAAAAGAGGAATCTTAAGGTATTCAATGGGAATGTAGGGATTCAGGGAAGACAGACCATCAACAGCCAATAATGCACTTACCAAGGAAATTTAAAGCCCCCTCCTTCAGTCTTCAGACTGATCAGGGTATGAGCACCTCCCAAGCCAAATGACTCCAAACATCAGACGTACTGCGTTTTTTAACCTTTTGGCCACTATTTCTTGGGGGTTTTGTTTTAAGATTCATAAAGCAAGCACACCTATTTTGGCCAGGTATTGGGAATGTTTCTGGTTAGGGGAGTAATTAGATGATATCTTCAACCACATATATCCCACTGGTACCAATACGACCATGTGCACTGGTAAAATTTATTATAGGTATACAGTAAAATATATTCCTCAAGAAGGTAAAACTACTTGATACTTACAGCCATTAGCAGTTTCTTCTCTCCATCAAAGGTAGTAAATACTGAAGGCTCACGTCCACCAACTAATATATGTGATTGTAAATAAGTGTTACGCCTATTTTCATCCAGTATAAACTGTTTCTTTCCACACTTCATTGACATACCTTTCAACCCTGAACCAACATAACAAAAAGGTGCATTAATAAGGTGGGCTACACTGAGGAGAAAATATTGAACCCAACCATTTATTTAAAAATAACCAAGTAGACCCAATCCCAAACCTGAAAATTCATCATTCCTCTCAGTTTTATGGTCAGCCAACCAACTAGTATATGCTTCGCCACTGCCAGACCCCTGGATAGCCCTTGCTGATGTATCAGTAGGGCCAGACCCGTCCAAAGGAGGTCCTCTTTTGATATCATAAGAGTGGGACCACATTGCACCATCTCCTCCACTAGCAAGAGTTGCACCTGAGAACTCAGAACCAGCACGCTCAAGGGAAGGTCTGCCTTGTGGCTTTTTAAGATTTTTGGTTGGTGGCCTACCCCTCCTTACTATTTTGGGTTCTGGTTCATTATCATCACTATCTTGCCTTAAATTTTCAAAGTTCTTCTTTGCCAATTCTTGTATGGACCGTGCCTGAAGAAAAATTCATATTTTCAAACAACAAATAGAAAGAAGGTATAAAAGAAAATTGAAGTTGGGAATAAACGTACCTGTCGGAAGTAAATGGTATCCGATGCATTATATGTCATTGCATTTGAACAAATCAAGAAGACATCTTTCTGCACAATATCACAGTAAAAATTGTTAAAAGAATCCCTTTTAAGCAAACAACAATTTTCCATTTTCTATCCTTTTCAGGATACCCAAGAGGCTAGCAAAACCACAATTTCAACCGAACCTCTCAAAGCTCCAATCTATGTTATAATAGAAAGATGGAATGGTGGGAGGCAAGGAGTCATCTCACTCCAGTGCTTCCTCTCCACCACTTTGGCTCCATTTGGGAAGAGTGCAAATACAAATCAAATACAAATATGCAAGGTTCATTAAAATGACAGCATTTGTATTTGCACTCTTCCCAAACAGAGCCTTATGTGCAAATTAACAATTTTTTAAAAGATAAAATGGTAAAACAAAATATCAAATGAGTAAAGTCCACTTTGATTATTTCTCAAAATCAAGGTTCAAAATTTTGACACGATACACCCCGTATCAGGCTTATCGTATCATATCGTATTGGCAAGACAGTGATACTACAAATACAAGGTGTTGGGGACTTTGGGCATTTTCAGAGGGTAGGCAGGCCTAACACTGACCCCGTGACCAATTTTGAGAAAAAAAACTATAAAAAAAAAAAGATGTTTTGTGGTATCAAAACAACCAATGTGCTTGTTCATGCATATAGGGTGTATCAATACTTTAAACCTTGCTCAAAATTTTCTATTAATGATCTCTATAATGTGGCTTAGTAACCCCGGAGAAACATCCCTAATAAATATATTTACCACTGATGGTTTAAAACTCATTGAACTTTCTATTTGGAAATTCTCCAATCACCTCTACTTGTAGAATTACTCCTCTTTAATTCTCTTCCTGCTGATACCAACATTACCACATCTTTTACTGATACCACCTTGCCATGTTCTCTAACTCTATTGTAGTAGGTGTGTTGAGAGGAAAATCTAATTGCCGCAGCATCTATCCAAGGAAAAGAAGATTGTAGGTTTCCTGGTGGTTCTTTTATCTATAATTGTAGGTTTCCCTTGTTTGGCATCAAATAATAGCCCAAAAATAATGCATAGATTTTATAAGGCACACAAATGTACAAGGCCACAGAAAATCGGTAAACCAGCCTGAAAAGTTAATAACTAAGTCAATGTCCAGCTACCATATACAGGACAGTGGGGGAAGAAGTTCAGCAAGAACATCAGGAAAGGTTGAAAGTGATGCATAAAATAAATCTGTTTGCCTGTAGAGGTTTGAAAGAAAAGGTAGGGAAGGGTAGGGAAACCTCTACAAACCTTGTAGAGGTTTCCCTACCATTTCTTTCAAACCAAACACAAGCCTAAATGACTAAAAGTCAGATGGCCTTACTCCAATAAATGGTCTCGATCCTCAAAATACATACAAGATGGTGAGTTGTGGTAGGCTGGTAGCCCCAGCCTACAAGTCTACAACTATAGACTTATAACCCAAAACCCCAGCCATTCCCCACTAAAAAAGTCATCTAGAATCTATTTTATTACACTTATCAACACCTAAAAAATATAATTTTACATACATTTAAACCTTACACAACTGGCAACCAAAATGGTTTAAGCAAACCTTGAGTTTTCAATTGAAAAATGATAGTATTTGAAGTAAGAAGATGGACCAATACTGATCTATTCCAGATTCAGTCAGGCCAGGAATTTATATTCCCCAAGCTAAATCCACCCTAGCTGCTCCTTCCATACCTTCCCTGGCCAATGTATCAGCAACTATTACACCCAAATATTGATGTGGACATGGACATGGATAAGGGAAACAAGGATACGGCTCTCCATTTCTAAAGTCATGGACACAGATACAGGAATAGTTGTCCCATGTGGCATGCTTGTATCATGCATTTATATCTACTTTAAAAGCTAAATGTCATTTTTTTATTGGAAACAGTAACTTCATTAATCAATTAAGATATATCAAGTACAAATGTCAGCCCCTGAACAAGGTGCCAACCCCCAAAAATCTTTTTACAATTCTGCCCAGAAAAGATTCTCCCTCAATGCCCCCTGTTTAGCTAAAGTATCAGCTACTCCATTAGCTGATCTTCTAATCCACTTGACAGAAGCTCCAATCTCCTTTATTATGTTGGCAATCTCCCTTGTAGCATGTCTATAAATCCAAGCTCCCAAGCTACCCAATTTCAACCAGTCAATGAGCATTTTAGAATTTCCTTCTATCTCTATTTGGTTTAGCCCCATCTGTTTGGCAAATCTCACACCTTGAAGCAAAGCCATTACCTCCCCCCTCAAAGAGTCTCCTACTCCTACAGGCCCTCAAAACATAGTGACAATTTTACCATCTCCATCTCTAAATACGCCCCCAATTCCTAGCAGTCCTGGGTTGCCTCTAGGGCTCCCATCAAACTTTAGATTCATTCTGTGTTGTGTTGTTGAGGACCATAGTTCCTGCACTTTAGGACTAAAGGAAGATGTAGCTGCAATCTCTCTCCAGTTTCTGTAAATGTCCTCAGCTGAGAAATCCTTAAACAAGTCAACTGATTTCAACCAGTGTATGACCCTGATGGATATTCTTTCAATAGTTTCCTTCTTATATTTCTCCACTCCATTGAAGATCCTATTATTTCTTTCTTCCCAAACTGACCAGAGAACCAGTGTATGACCACACGACTCTACCACGCCTCTTCGGTTGCCTGAAAAACCTGGGCTGGATAGGCTTACCACATCCAAGGGAGGTGTCCACCTGCTTCCAAAGAGAGAAGAGAACCAAGTCCATATAAAAAGTACAAAGGACAAGTGATTAAAAGTTGTCTGAATGTCTCACCAGCACTCAAGCAAAGACTACAAGCATGGAGAGAGAGGCAGAGAGTAGGCCTCTTTCTTTGCCATTTCTGACTCCCTTAGCCCTCTCCTCAACCCCAAGCCCCATGAATTATTAATATAAACCGAAAAGGTTTTTCTTTTATTCTCTGAGAGTGAATAAATAGAGGGTAATCTGTCACTAAGGGAACTCTCCCCAACCCAGACATCTTCCTAGAACAGCACTTTGTTTCCTGCACAAGCATCAAATTTGAAGTAAGGAAGCATAGAGGGCAAGGTACCGTGAATCACTTTCCATGGAGAGCAACAAGAAGCCCTAGGATCGAGACCCACATCCCAACCATTGCCTGCCAATCCGTGAATGCTCACCATCACTCTGTACCACCATCTATCTTGTTCCAACGGCAATATCCATAACCATTTCCCCAACAAAGTTGTGTTTCTTAACCTGATATTTCCTATTCCTAGGCCTCCATCATCTCTACATCTAGAAACCATCTCCCACTTCACTAAGCAATCCTTCTTAGTGTCTCTTGGTTCCCACAAAAAGTCCCTCATGATCTTCTTGAACCATTTTGCCACTTTCACTAGAATTCTAAAGATAGAAATGAAGTACACTATTATATTGGCTAGAGTTCACTTTATGAGAGTTATCCTAACCCCAGTGAGATGTAGTTTCTCTTCCAATTTGCCAATTGTTTGGTGAATCTCTCGATCACTAGGTACCAAAAACTATACGAGTTTGGATTCCCTCCCAAAGGTAGCCCCAAATACTATAATGGCCAATATCCCACTTCACACCCCAAAAGCCTAGCTAGAATATTCACCTCTTCACTCTCTAGGTTCACTCCCGCCACACAACTCTTGCCCCAATTCACTTTAAGGTTGGAGATTCACTCAAAATTATTCACAATCCTCTTTAGGTTCACAAGCTCTTCTATTTTTCCTTCACAAAATAAAATAACGGCATCCACAAACTGTAAGTGTGTAACCACCACTTCCTCCCAACTCTCCAACCTCTAAGCAAATTATTAGCATTTGTCTTTGTAATTAAATCACTCAAGACATTGACCACTAAAGTAAATAGAAAGGGGGACAAGGGATCTCCTTGTCTAGGGCCCCTCTTAGTAGGAAAAAAATCCCTAGCTACTCCATTCACCAGAATTGAAAAATGGCAAGAGGATATGCAACCCTTCACCCATTTACACCATCTTGCTCCAAAACCCCTTCGGTTAAGATTTTTTTTTTTTTTGAAGGATAAAAGGAAATTCATTAAACTGAAAAACACAATGCATCTCAAAATGTTGGTTGTCTAGCTGACAAACCAACTTCACAACAAAAATTACAAGAAATAATTTCTTGAAGAAGAACCACCTCTGGATTGATACTTTGAAGCATGTTCCTCACTAACTTCCTCCTTCTTCCATTCCTTATACCCCTTACAACTCAACTAAGAATTCTCATCTTCCTCCCCCATTCCCTATCTTCCCCCTCCCACCGATACACTCAATTTCGTCCCGCCCCTCCTCTTCTCCTCCTTCCTCATCCCACCCCTTTACTTTTTCTAAGTATTCTTCCCTCTTCTTTTTCTCTTCTCTTTTCTTCTTTTCAAACTTCTCAAATGCTATTTTCGCAAAACCTTTGCCTCCGCAAAAAACTAGGCCGAGAGACTTTCCAACCTTCACTTCCCTCTCCACTAGTTTATTAATATTTACTTTTCCATTTTGAACTATTTCCTTGACTTCTTGATCTTTTGTGATTGTTTTTCTTTATCTCTCGTTGTCCCTATCCCCCGTCTCTGAACCTTCTCCTTTTTCCCCTTGTTTCTCTTCTTCTAAACTCTGAGTAGTGTCTATTGGCCTTCTTTTTCCATAAGGAATTCCCAAATCCCAATCAACCATGTCATAAGCCTTTTCTAAATCCAACCGGCATATCGGCCCCCCTTTGTTTTTCCCTTCCTCTAAACTCGACACATGCATTGGCAATAAGAATTTGATCCATTATTTGTCTCCCAAAAACAAAGGCCCTTTGATTCGGTGAGATCAGAGAAAGAAGTACCTTTTTTATTCTTAAGGCCAACACCTTAGCAATAATTTTATACATACTCCCCACCAAACTTATAGGCCTGAAGTCCTTTGGCTGAAGAGCATCTACCTTCTTGGGAATCAAAGCAATAGAAGTCGCCTTTGCTCCTGAATTAAACCTGCCCCTCTCAAAGAGTTCTTCAAAAACCTCCATTAGGTCATCCCCAACAATCTTGATAAAATGCCATCGTGAAACCATTAGGCCCAAGAACTTTAGACCAGTCCATTGAAACCACTGCATTCCTTACTTCTCTGTATTGCAAAATTTTTCTCCAAAAATCTCCAACAATTCTCTATTCCCTGCCAAAATTTAATTAAATTTTTAACATGTGCAAACCACAATTCTCATTATGGTATAATTTGTTAAAACATAGCCTCTACATATTTTAGAAATGTTAATGCTCTAAAGTACATCTAGAAGTGTCTACAGAATCTACTACCGTATCCGACATTGGCAAACAAGGCATGTATAGGTATCTGGGTATCATAGATCAGCAAGAAAATTACCCAATCTTGACCGGGCCCAGAGAATATGCAAATTTTAAACTTAAAGCAATGCCAATATCTCTACCTAAGCAAGATTCCTACCCCAACAATATCTAAAAACTCAATCGAAGTTGCCCATCATGGTCCCCAAAGAGACCACCAATGCAGACAAACCTGGATTTCATAGAGAGCATTAGGGTTGTCAATAGGTCGGTTCTACCCGACCAAACCGATTATATTGGTTCTGGTTCTCTGATTTCATTCCAATTTGAGTTAATAATATATAAAGGTTTCATAGTTTTTCTTTTACTTTTATCATATCTTATGTCTAAAAGGGTAAATTTTATGAATAATATAGTGTTTTAAAAGGCGTGGGAGGCGATGCCCTGAAGCGTATGCCAGAGGCGCTGACACCTCTGAGGTGTACGCCTCTTGCGCCTCATGCACATCTGATATGAAAATACAGAAAAAAAAAAGAAAAAAAGGAAAGGAAAAGAAAGGAAAGGGAAAGAAAAGGAAAGGAAAGGCAAGAAAAAAAAAGAGAAAAGGAAAGAAAAGAATAGTAAGGGAAGGGAAGAAAAGATAAGGCGTACGCCTCTTGCGCCTCATGCACATCGACAAGACCCCCCCCCTTTGAACTTCTGTTATGAATCTTTATTCTTCTTAATATAAAAGATTTTTATTAAAAATAAAGAAAAAATGAGATCTCCCTACATTTCCATCCTCCTCATAACCCCCCTCCTCTTAAGGAGGACGCCTCCTTGTGTTCGGGAGGCTTATGCCTCTTGCGTTCTGAATTACGCCTCACGCCTCTAGGTAGTGGAACGCCTCTTGCGTTCTGAATTACGCCTCACGCCTCTAGGTAGTGGAACGCCTCCGCGTTTTAAAACACTGGATAATATATAAGATAGTTTTGGTTAAGAACACTTGATTTATATAAACAATATATTATTTTACTCTCATTTTTATTAAGTTTTTTTTGATAATTGGTTATTTTTTATTAAGATTATATTATCAAAAATGAAGTTACATGTCCCTCATTCATCATCTTCATCTAAAGCCTTGCCCCAACTATATAGGGTCGGCTTATATATCCTTCATTCTCTTTATAAAATGTGCTGTGAGAGACTTTTTTAATAAACTAAATAAAAAGAACATGAGATACAAGATAGAGGGATAACATATAAATCAAGAAAAACTTAAAAATAAGACCTTTGCTTGGTATGATGGTAAAAACTCAGGCTGACAAAACAGGATCCATGATCATGAGAGTTTGGCAAAAGTTTTAGTGCCAGTTGCCTTCTTGACACAACCCTCCTCCTTTATCCAGGGGGGCCAGTGGTGTAAGGCAAGCTCAACTCAATGTAAAACCTCAGGTTGACAAGCATGAAAATACAACTGCAAGAAATGGAACGTCAAAAAATTCTTTGGAATCTGAAGTCCAGGATAAGTGTAGAGAGGAAAGAGGTGAAGGGGAGAGGGACGGAGGAAAATAACAAAATAGAACACTTTGAATAAAACAGAAAGCAGGAAAATAACAAGCCAAATGCAATTGGGGAAGGGGGCAAGAATTGGGAGGAAGAGGGAGGGGAAGCTCTAGAAATTGTTGATGAAGAGTGAGGGAAATGTTGGAAATGTCACAGGTAAAGGGAGAAGACTGGTGTTCCTTGGCAGCCTTGAAATGGTGCTCGGGTTAAGTTCAGTTCTCTCAAGAGAATGTTTCCAGATTTGGGTTTTTGCTTCTTTTTGTATTCTGTTTTGGGGTGGTTGGGGTGGTAAGTTGTTCAGGGGATTATAGTATTGGGCTTTGGGTGCCTAGCCTCGCCTTAGTTTGGATGGAGGTGCTGTCTTAGCACCCCTTCAGGTTGTATTTGTTTTCTTTTTTCATATATTTTCGTTTTTATCTTAAAAAAAAAAAAAAAAAAAACATGAAAATACAGGTCTGAGTCTGAGAGAGTGCACTTCATGCTAGAATGCCAAACTTTACATCCATATCCAGTCCACCCCTTCCTAAGTTCCAAGATCGCAGATAGAAGAGACCAGCATGCTCAAAATTAAAACTCTATATTTGAAGTGCAAGTGAGATAAAGCCTTCGTGGCACGAAATGTTAGAGACTTCATATTTAACAACACCAGTAGGTTTGGTGATTAGCTCGATTCACAAACTGGGTGTTGATCTAAAATGAAACGACTTCATATCCAGCAGGGTGAAATTATTCAGTAGGTCAGCAATAAATAATTAAATATATAGGTGGGGTAAAACCATTCCCATGCAAACCATGATTTTACTATCCTCCCATCCCATGTATGAAGTAACCAATAATATAATTTGGAAACCTCAGTGCACTCACAGTAAAAGTGCATCAAAGAGCAGTAGATCATCAAGTATTCCATCCCCCCCCCCAAGAAAAGTGCATCAAAGAGAAGTAGAGCACAACATAATTTGGAGACCATGAATATATACTTGAAAAATCATTCATACACTGATAATGCACATTACAAGTCAACTTTAATGATTAAAAATCGTATAGACTTATTAGAACTCCAAACAAGTGTAACCAACCTCAAATTGCTCCAAGTTAGAATAAGCCCCTCCATCCAGTTTCTTCCTCACAGTTCCAAAATCCATGGGATGCTCTATAACTTCATGGTAGTCCGGAAGCTATACATAACAAACTTCATGATCAAACTCTAGACGACAAAAGAACGTCTAATATAAAAATTAAATGCATTAGTTCCAAATTCCAATACGCACCTCTTCTGGATCCACTGGTTCAGAGAATACGCCGTACGTGTCCTTTCTGCAGGTAGATTGGGAAACCTCAGTGCACTCACAGTAAAAGGCAGAACGGCAAAAGGGAGAAAAAAAATCCAAGAAGCCAGAAAACATACTTTTGAAGCCTATCGAGGATGAACACCAGCAACTTTTTGTCCGGTAAAGGCGTTGTGGGTCCAGTCTCCAACTGCGTCCCTGTTAATAAATAATATTAATAAACAAATAATTTCATATAAATTTCCGAAAATGTCTTACCGGAGGAAACAAGAAAGTAGATTGACAGCGAACCTGGAAGACTGCCCGTCCCTTTCGAGGAAAAATTCGACTTTGCTCCCTGCAACTCACATAAAGAACAAAAAAAAAAGATACCCATTTAAGTAAATGGTTATTTTCTATCATAGTTGAATAATCAAGCAGAGAAAATAGAGAAAAATAATTTAGAGTAGTTCAACACAAACCAGAATGAGAGAAAATAAGCAGCAGGAAGGGTATGCATTTTAGAAACTGAGACTGTTGATACGACAAAGACAAACTCACACTTTTTCAGACATAATTAGCCCGAAAATAATTGCAACAGAGAATAAAATAAGACCCGGAAAACAAAAATAGAAAAAAGATATCATACGCCGATTTTCAAAAAAACAAAAAAAAAATCAAAACTTGACCAAGTCAAACACAATACACATCCGATTCTGGACAGAAACCCAAGACGAAAGTTCAAATAAAGAGCGAATTCCAAGGGAAATCCAGGCCATGTCGACAAAAGATTCTCCAAGAAGCCAAAAAAGATCAAAGTAAACCAAATTCCTCCAAAATTCGCAAAATTCGTCCCCTTCAAGATCGAAAAAACAAAAAACAACGATCTTTTAAGTCACAGAATCTATAAGTGACAAAATCCAAGGATAACAACATCCGCCAACACAATTCAAAGAATTCGTCACCTTTTCGGCATCACTGTGACCAGATCCATCGAACACAGCATTGATCTTCCGCCTCTTATGAGGTGTCTCGCCATTATCATCCTCGGCGTTCGAATCAGACCCATAGGAACCAGAATTCAAAGACGAATTATGCTGCTGCTGATGTGCGGGCAGACGGAGAACGAACTTGAGCTTCTTCTCTCTGCGGCGCCCGTTCGGTTCATCGTCATCATCTTCGTCAACGTCGGCGTCTCCACCTTCGTTTCTCTCAGATGACACGGCGGTCCCGTCGGGGCAAGGGTTCCGGCGAGTGAATCGGCGGTTGGGGTTGGGGTTAGGGTTAGGGTTAGGTACGATAGGGTTTCTAACGTGATTAGAATAGGGATTAGAATTAGGATTTCGTTTCTGTTGTTGTTGCTGCTGTTGTTCTTGTTGTTGTCTGAGACTTCGCTTTTGGAGATCTAAAAGAGAGGGTCGTCCTTTCTTCTTCTTCTTCTTCTCCACTACCTTACCCATTTCCGGCTGTGGCCTCACCTTCTCTCACCTTCCCTCTCCCCCTCTACAAACAGGGGTAAAATTTTTCTTTTTCTTTTTCTTTTCTTTTCTTTTTTTTTATTTTTTGTTTTATTATTTTGTTTCGCCTTCGCACGTGAGAATCACCACTCACACGGATTGTGTGAATAACTCGTACGTGCTTATATCAGCTCCACCTCCGCTTACAGAGCGGAGCGGAGAGTCAACTCAACAGTCCAAGAGTAAGCCCATGAGACTGGCCCTGGCGAGACCGGATCTGCTCCTCACACCTTGCGTCTCACTGGTGTCTCACACACCCATCCTTCCATGCATCTCCCGTAAATATTCATGGAGATGCTCCAATGCATGGTGATGTTCCTGTGAGGCGCCCATATATGAGGAACAGATCCCGTCACGGCCCTGACCATTTTTGTTTGGACTCCAGAGCAGTTCAATTGATGCCTACAGATCCGGGTACGGGTTAAGATATATATGGTCGGTCGGTAAACGATACTGTAAAGGTTTAAAATAGCGATCCCTAAAATTTACAACTTACAAGAGACTGCACTGCGGGTACAACCGTACCCTTTTGAACTTTCATGCCTCGGGCCTCGAGTGGTCTGGGCCCATATTATGTTTTTCGAAACTTGGGCCCATATAAGATACAATGGACGAAAGGCCTAATAAATCCAAAATGTGGAACCTGTGGGTTCTAAATCGAATATCTGTTAAGACAAAAAATAAAAGGAAACAATCAAATGGGAAATGATCATCCTTATCCCACTAACAGGTCATTTTGTGGAATGGATAATTGCAAAAAGGAGTCTACTATAAATAAAAATATGTATACTATAAATGCATACAAAAATAATATAAAATATAAGATTTTGTATTCACACTCTTTTTACAAAATCACATAATATATAATAAAAATACATAGAGTATATATTTAGCATCGATGTTGTAGATACAACATTGTTTTCTAAGAATGGTGTCTTTTTCTGTTTGGAAATGTTGTTGCTAGGTAGGACGTTTTCTAGAGCAATAACAACACTTTCTATTTGGTACCAAAGCTCCATATCTATTTTCAGCACCGATACCCATTATAGGAAGGAAGTCTACATCACTGCCACATCATGTCCTCATTGGTAACAACGAGCTGCAATCTGATAAAATGTTAAGTTCGATGTTGCTCTAAACCACGCCTTCTCGATTTCCAAGGTGTGGCTTGGAGCATCATTTTTTATGGAAAAACAGTTCCAAACATATTGGTGTTTTCTGAAGTACTGTTTTTACAACGTAGCACTAATGTGTCACCGTTTTCTGGAGCAATGGCGTCAATACCAAACAAACGCATAAAATATAAGGTTATGCACTTTATACATTTGTATTTGTACTCCTTTCAAATTAAGCCTAAAAGGTAAATGTTAATATTATTATATAGTAAAAATTGTATAACCATTTTCTTATCTCTCTCTCTAAGGTAAAAGTTGTATTATATTTGTACTCCTTTCCTCCTCACAAAATGGATCATCACAACACTTTCAGTCGTGCATTGGGAACATCCTCCCATGAATGAAAACATACAAAAATTTTATCTGGATTTGCTCCCTCTCATAGAGCACCTCATATCAATCTCAAAGCATGTTGTAGTCTTGCATTGGAAATATCTCTCCATGAAAGATAACATACAAGCATAAGTGGTAATTGTATTCCCAATATGTTGTTGTAGCCTACAAGTGTTGTGAGCTAAGGTTGGTGTGAGGCACACTCTAAGGCTATGTTTGGTTTGAAGGAAAAGGTAGGGAAAAGAAAGGAAAGCTAGGGAAATCTATACAAGATCTATGAAGGTTTCCTTAACTTTCCTTTCCTTTCCCCACTTTTTCCTTCAAACCAAACATAGCATAAGAGAAACAAATTCGGAGTCTACAAATAAGGAGTTGTTCCCTTCAAGTGTTGTGAGGTTGGTGTCAAGATCAATTTTATGAGGAAATCCAAACTTATAAAAGTTGAAAGAAAAAAAGAAAAAAGAAAAAAAAAAACTTCATATAATAGAATATGAATAACAATTAGGACATCCCGACCATGAATAGATGACTAATCTATAATTGCACATTGATTTTTAAGCCCTCCAATTCTCCAACTAAAAGTAAAAAATATAATAATCAAAATTAGTATGTTATAAACCAATGGAATAAATAATCTATCAAATTCACATTTATCAAAAGATGATTTGACTTAACAAATAACATTTTAATATAATAACTATTTTAGTACTTAAATTTTATAATCTGAACATGATATGTATCTTAAAATTTTTATATATTTTTTATATTATTAATTAAATAACAACATACTTATTATTTACAAAAAAAAATTATAAAAGATTCAAAAACATAATATTAAATTGAATCTATCAATTCTACTAATCAACATTTATATCAAAAACAATTTTTAATTTCAGAAAATTTATAAAAGTAAAAATATTAATAATGGAATAATTATTTTAGTGATTAGAACTATGAATTTGCATATGATATGTATCATATAAATTTTGAGTTGAGATTATATATTTTTATAAATTATCAATTGATATTTTAATTTACATTTGGGAGTTTAATATTTGGTTAACCTTTTTTGTTAATTTAAAAAGAATAAATGGAAAAATAGAAAATAATTAGTATAATAATTAAAATATAATAGATGCATATGTTTTGTGTCTTAGAATCTTTGTTGGCATAATCAATAAAATTCTGTGATATCTATACATCTTGCTATTTTAATTTAATATAGTTTTTCATATACATCATTAAAATATACATTTCCTAGGTATTTATACAGTTATACATTATTTCTATCTATCTGGCTTAAATTTAGTTTTATTAATGCATTTATGGAATTTGTATGTATTTTCCTAACATATCCAAGGTTTTAAAAGGTTAAATGCATAATTGAGGCATAATGGCCTAAAAAGGTGAGGCGTAAGTCCCAAGGCATTGCGAGGTGTAAGCCTAAAAAATTAATTAAAATTTATAAATGATAAAAATGGCATGTAATAACCAAGTTAGAATGGTGGAAGGTATAAACATTCATAAAACATAAGTTTATAAGTAATAAGTTTTAACTTTTAAGCATTAAATAAATTGATAATTAATCATTTAACAATTATAAGCACTTTACGTTTTATGTTTCAAAATGCAATCTTATGGTATTTATTCATCTAAAGAATCATCTATATAATGGGCATTAGATTTATGGTCATCCAATGGTTGGAAATAAAAGAAACAATGTAGTTAATTTGATCCATGCAAAAAAAAATCAATAAAAAGAAAAATAAGTCCCTTAGGAAAAGAAATGAGAAAAACAATAAACTTGGGATGTTGAATTAGAATATTAAGAAAAAAATTCTACTTGATTTATCCGAGAGAAACTAATAATTTGGAAGTATTTTTTATATATTTTTGATAAGGGACAATTTGGCCTATCAAATAATATGATGACACGTGGAGCGACGAAGTGACACGGTGACACCTCAGTGACCTCGAACACCTTAGTGATCCTAGTCACCTCGGGCACCTTGGTTCACACAACTAAACCAAGGCCCGAGTAGTTCATTACAACCACCAACCTGCCGAAGTGCCACATAGCCTCCTTTCAAGTCAATTGTCTCTAATCTCCTTGGGATCACAACATATGTCAACGGATTTTATCTTCTCGTCGCCCAAATTGAACGGACCTGGATAAGCCTTATCAACTTACTCAGAGTCCATCTTTGGGTGCAAAACCAACTCCGGACTAGATGGGCCGATGATCTTGGGCATGTATCGTGAGACCCATGACACCTTTCCTATGTAAGGGCCTCACCTCCAGCCTCACAAGGTACGTGAGGTTAAACTCTTTAAGATCTCTACTAGCTCTCAGCTCTCTCTAGATCTCCACATCGCTAACTTAAGCATTAGAGTGCCCACACTGGGTAAAAGCACCCTAGATACTTTGATGGTTTTGTTTTGTAGTTCGGCCAAGCCACATCACTAGCCCGACGTCCGAGTTGTCCTCTAGTAGGGAGCGTTCATTAATGCTTTCCATTAATACTTTCCACTTCTCTAGACTATCTATAGGAGAGGAAGGAGTTTGACACCAATGCTTTCCATTAATGCTTCAAACTCTACCGAATGTTGGTGAGGTCGGTGTACCCCGAGCTCGATCTTACGCCCATATAGTCTTTGGCCTGTACCGATGAGATGACAAATTAGGTCGATCTGGAGCCTGATTCTGAGGATGAAAAAGTCAAGGTTGGCGAGGGAGCCGAGGTCAGAGTCGACTTAAATGCTGTTGGAGAGGATGTCGCCGAAGGGGATTCTACCAATGTGATTGGTGATGGGGGCGAGGAGTCCCAAGATGTCTAAATCATTTCTACCTCTTTTCTTGGACCCCCTGTTAATATGTAAAGTGCCAAGCCTCTGAGCTCGGCCTAAGAAACTTTTCTCTTTCTTTTATGTTTTGATGACAATGTAATCATTTTCTTATGTTCAATGAAGTAAACTTTTTTGCACACCTCATATCTTTCTTCTTTTGAATTTCTTTTGAACTTGAAACTTCACAAAAATATTCTAAGTATGGGATTAATCTGAGGTGCCTAGGTGCCGAAGTGACTAGGCATAGCATGTGATATAACCCAAACTACCTATGTGCCAAAGCGACTAGGCACATCGAACTACCAATGTCATTGCTAAGTTGGCATAGGGGGCCTTTAAGCTAAAAGTGACTTGGCGTCCCCTTTGAGATGTAGTTTAGCCGATGTGCTTCATAATGCAGGTCGGCTCGACCAGGTTACCAAGGCGGGTGGTCTCTTTCTATACTTAGTGAAATTTTTAAAGTTATGGACGCTGACTCTCAAGCCCAAATGTAGTACCTCCTTAGATTATCCATGTTCCAGGTACGGGGTACTTGCTTCCCCTCCAACATCTTAAGCTTGTATGTTCCTTCACCGATCACCGTTAGTACTTTGTAGGGACCTTCCTAGTTTGGTCCTAGCTTACCTACATTGGGCTTAGGTACCATAATTTTTTGA